AAAAAGTCGCACCACACGTCGCTCCCACCTCCTTCTTACACACCATTTTCTCCTTCATGGCATCCGGCGAGTAGGAAGGCGAGTTCTCCGACATACAAGCTGGATGGGTGGCCCATGGAGCTCGTCAGTGTACGAACCAGGCAACTCTCTGCTCCGCCTCCGTCTACAGGCCAGGCGGCTGCAGGCCAGCCCCTGGAGGCAGAAACTCCAAGCAGGTGTGTCGATCAGCCACTCGCCGCTCCAAGCCATCTCGCCGAGGAGTGGCGTGTTGCTCTAGGCCGGCACGCGGTTGACGACATCGTGTCGCACCGCTACTCCCATGTTGCCGCGACTAGTGTAGTGTATCTGTGTTGTGGGAGTGGAGCTCCTCACGACCGGGCGTGCACATAGTTTTCGCTATTTTAGTTAAAATATGTCCAAAACATAATGAATTTCGTCTGGTTTATATAAAATTTGATGTGTTTGCATGAGTTGCAACCAGCTTGTTAAAAAAGTGTTTGAAATATATGCAGATAGTGTTGGATAGCGGTCTTCTGTATCCATATCCGTGGATTGATCCCTTGTCTGTGAACGAATACTGGAGAAAATTTACGGATTGCGTTGGAGATGCCCTTATCCATATCTCCTAGCTAACTTGTCCTGCATGCACCACCTTTCGTTCGTTCACCCGTGGAAAGCTTGATCCCTTTTCCCCAAGGGGGACAAGCGTATCTCCATCCCCTCAAATTCTCTACCCTACCCTGTTTGACAAATTCTACCGCAGCCTGTGTCGCAACAATGCGTGCCTGCTTCTCTCTCTCAAAAAAAAAAAAAACAATGCGTGCCTGCTGCCCGCTCGTGCCGACACTTTGCCTGTCAACCGGCCGCTCGCCACGTGGAAGAGCCGGTGAAAATCTGCCTGATTTGACGGACGAGCTACAGGGCTGTCCAGTGTCAAACTCCTCTACATCATGTAGTAATTGACAAGTGCTGCGTGTGTTGCCGATCGATCGATGCTTCGGCCCTTGTTTTTACTGCACTGATGAGCCATCTAGTAGTATAGTACCGACTATAGGGGGTTAATTAGGCTGTAACAGGCGGTCGAATCACGGAGGTTCCCATGAAGAAACTGAAAACTTCAAGCAACCGGCTTGATTTTCATGCACCTTCT